TCCGATTTTAATCCCTGTAGGATGCAGGAGGCTCCACTGCGCTCTCCTGCACTTGGCTTGCCACGGCAATTAGGGGGCCTGGAAACCGTTTTAGCAAGAACTATTACGTGTACAAGCGTAACTCACATTCGAAACACGTAGCTGGGATGCAATCCATCTTTGGATGTGACTGAAATCTGGGAAAGAGGAAAAAACAGAGTGGGGCGAATTATTCTTTAAGTGCTTTACCTGAAATAAAGCACTTTCCTTTAGCAATAAGCAACTTGCTGCATAATTTTTGCTCAGCTCACGATGGTTGTGATGGGGGGGGGGATGCCGGCCTTGGGGCTGAGACAATAGATTCACATCTGGTAAATAGGAGCTGAGAGCGCGAGGCTGCTTTGTTCTGCCTGCCTGACCATAACAGCGTTGCCCCAGCTCTCCCTGCTTAATTTCCCCTGGGGAAAATAGGGATGCTGCTCGCCCGGTCAGCACGCCCGAGCCACCCAGAGCCGACCGGGTGTGCTCGCAGCGCTGCCCTCGCTCAGGCTGGCCTTCCGTGTAGCCACAGGTCCGCACCCCCAGTGCCAGAATTTCAGGTTGAACGGGCTCGGGATCTAAATAGGGTTAGCTCCCGGCTTTGGGAGGCAGGTGAGGTTTTGCAAGCCTCGGTCGCCGCCCGTTCCTGGCCCCTGTGATCCCGGGAGCCGGGTAGCAGCAGTGAATCATTTGTTTTGGTTTCTCCCCACCAGGCGCTTGGCTGCAGCGCCTGGCGCAGAAGCAGTGGGCGTGGGAGAGATGGATGGCTCGTGGGCTGGAGTCCCTCCGGCCGGCCGTGAGAACCAGCATCCCGCTGGTCCCCGGCCCCGCCGGGGCACCTCCTCCTCTTTGCTGCCATCAGGGAACTTGTGCGGCTCAAATCTCCCATGTCCCCATCACCCAGGCATGCACCGGGAGGTCCGGGGGGTGGGTGAGGAAAGGTTGCCGGAGATGAAGGCTCGAAAAGGGAGCTCAGCTCAGCCTCTTGCTGACTGAGCAGTCTGAGGCAGGTGCCTGGCAGCCCCCTGGGACTCCCCATCCTCATCCTCTCCCTCACCACCTCCCCACCCCTTGCCTACCGCCAGCCCAGCATCCTTCTCCCACCTCTTTCCTCGCACCCCTCCCTTGCACCGTGCCACCGGCCGGCCGGGGAGCGATCTTCCCGACAGCCGATCTGGGATGCTCATCTGGCAGCGGCGTGCCAGGCCCAGGCTTGGAAACACTGATTTTAACTGGGCTTTGGAAAGAAACTCTTGAAATCCTCTTCCTTCGGCAGGCTTTGTGAGCTCATGGCTCTCTGCCTAGATAATAGCTTTTACGAGGAAGCTTTGGGATTTTCAAATTCATTCCTTTCCCCTTTTTTTTTTTTTTTTTTTTTTTTTTTGTATTTTACCCCTGAAAAGGGCTGTTGGGCAGAGGAGGAAACAGCCCCAAGCTGAAGCAAAAGTCTTTCTCAGTTTTCCCCTGGCCAGGGCGCATCGCACGGCTGCAAGAAGGGAGCTGGGCAGGAAAACCAGCAGGAAAAGCAGAATGGAAGAAAGACCCCGGCTTCGTTCCAGCCATGCGCCCACTCCCACCAGCACCGAGTGCTCCAGAGCCACTAAAGGACCGGGCACTCCTCCCACCTCACCATCTCGCCACGGATTATGGTAACTGAGGCCGAAATCCGTGCTGTCTAGGTAGAGCAGCCCTGGTTTTGGAAAAGCCTCCCTGCTGACCGCTTTGGGTGAGCTGATTTTCTGCGGTAGGAGAGGGGTATGAAGGGTATGCCGAGAAGGCGCTCAGCACTGCTTATGCAATGGGGAGAGTGAGATTTTTTAGCACTGCGGGGTTTTATACCGCTGGTGCTCTACGAGAAATTCCCTTTCTGGGAAAGATTTTGCCGCCAGTGGCTGTGGAAGCTCGACACCCTCCTTGAGCAAGCGGCTGAGTGCGTGCCCGGAGAGATGAGAGTTAACTTTAAAACATCCGGCATCCGTATCAGCAGGGAGGAAGGTTCCCTTGATTTCCTAAGCGCCAGCAAAACCTAAGCTTCTAAACCCTAATCCCTCTCTAAGCTGGAGCTGCCAGGCCAGGGCCAAGGACAGAGAAAAACCCTTGCTGCGTTAGCCAAACCACCCGCGCGGCTCTTTGGTGCCAGCGCAGCGGGACGGAGGTGAGCCCACCCCGTCCAGCCACGAGCTCACCCGTGGGTCAGGCTCCCCTTGGACACTCCACCCCCCCCCCCCCAACCCCTCCCCAACTTTTGGACCCTTCTTTTGTCATCTGAGACCGCGCCGCCTTTCCGCCTTGTCCTTCCCCAGCTTGGGCGCTTCAAAGCGAGTCCCGCGGGGCCGTCCTGGCAGCCACCCCCCCGCTGCTCCCGGTTCGAGGTGGGGTGCTCCGACAGGCAGGGGGGGTACCCCACTCCGGGCGACCTCCAGGCCCAGTGTCATCCGCATCAGGCCCGGGAACCATCCGTGGATCAAAAATACGCAAAAAAAAATGCATTTTTTTGGCCGGGAGCAGCACAGAACTGGAGGGGTCCCCTAAGAACCTCAGCAGCCAGGAGGGTCACCCTCATCCAAACTTCCCCCCCCCCGCCAAAAAAAAAAAGCCCTTTGCTGCTCAGCCCGCGGGGTAACCCATCTCCCTGCGAGACGGCATCACCCAAACGCGCCCCGCGTGGGAGCCCCCCCCACGCAGCCCCGCAGCCGGGCAGGGCGCGGGATGCGCGCAGGCAGCGCGGGCGCCAGCGGGGCGGGCAGCGGCGCGCCGGGGCCGCGCAAGTCCCGCGGAGCTCCGCACGGCCGGGAGGGGCGGGGGGGGGGGGGGGGAGAGCAGCGCCCGCTCCCTCCGCGCCGCTCCGCGCCCGCGGGGCTGACGTCACCCTGCCCCTGCGCCGCCCGCGCTGATTGGCTGCGGGTGACGTCAACGCTGTCTTTTTTTTTCTTCTTCTTCTTCTTTTTTTTTTTTTTGCTCTTTTCTTTTTTTTTTTTTTTTTTTTTTTTTTCCCTCCCCCCCCCTTCCCCCCCCCCCCCCTCCGCCGTTCCCGAGGCATGACCTCATCGCCGGCGCATTCCCGGCGGTGCGCGGAGCGGCGCGGAGCAGCGCGGAGCGGCCCCCCCCCCCCCCCCTCCCCCTCCTCCCTCCCTCCCTCTCCCGCCCTCCGCGGCATGCGGGCCCTGCGGTGCCGGCAGCGGCCGCGCCAGCGGAGATTCCGCGGAGCGGCGCGGCCGTCCGCGCCCGCCGCGCCGGGTCAGTGCATTCCCCCTACAGCTGGCTCTACGCGCCCCGCGGAGGGGAGGGGGAGGGGGGGGATAAGGGGAGGGGGGGGGGTGGCGCGGTGCAGCGCGTCCGCATGTGCGGAGCGGAGCCGGCATCGCGCCGGTGGACAGCGCGAAAAGCTACACCTATATCTGTACGTGTATATATGTATATATAGGGCTTTGGGGTTTTAAGGGGAGGTTGGAATTATTCTGGTGCAAGGGAAAAAAAAAAAAAAATATGGGGGGGTGCTGGGACTGGGGAGGGAGCAGCCCTGCAGGGGCTGGGGGGGTGGGGGGGGGGGCTGGCGCTCCGCGGCCGCGCATGTCGGGGACGCTGCGCTTGTTTTCGGGGCGGGGGGGGGGGGGGGATGTTGCAAATCCCACCCTGCCTCGGCGGTGTGCGCTTGCCGGGCGCTGGTGGTGCAGGTGAGGAGGGGGTTTGGGGGGAGCTCCGGGGTCCAGCCGCCGTCGGGGTGGGGGGGTGGGGGTGTAGGGGGGGGGTGTCTCTTGGTGGGGGGGGGGGGGGGGGCTGAGGGCTGGTGGTGGAGGAAGCGGTGTTACCAGCGCTGTGTTTTTTCTGATGATGAAAGAGGTTGGAGTGTCGCCCTGTGTCCTTGGCGTTTAAACGCAGCCGGCATGTGTTCAGCAGCGGGGGGGCGGGGGGGGGGGGGGTCATGCAACACTTTGCTGCGGCTCCGAAGGCGCTGCTAGCAATTAATGAGTTAATCTGCCCGTTTAAAATAACCCCCCCACACACCTCCCCCAATGTGCATGGCCCGATTGATCACCTCCCCCCCCCCATTTACTATATAGTGATGTGTTGCTTTCTGTGCTGAGCGTTGGTTGTTTTTAAAGATTCCTGCTTATTTCCCTTATTGATAAATAAGTTCCTTCTCCCTTCCTGCTCGCCACCCCCCCCCCCCCCCCCCCCCTTTCTCTCCTCCCCTAGAATTAAATTCCTGAGCAACAGCACAAACTGATGTCAGTGCTTCAGCTTGCATTGGGGGAGCTCTGTGCACAGGTCAGTAATTTGCGGTTTTCGTTAGAAGGCAGGACGCGGTGCAGCGCTGTTCTGTTAAGGATATTTGGATTTTTCTAGGCGCGGATGCGTTTGTCTTTCGCCTTGCGGTAGTTACCAGCAGCTCCCTGGTGAGAGCTGGGCGCTGCATAAGCCTGTGTGGAAGAGACCATCCCTGTCCCAAGCAGCTATCGATGACAAATGCATTGGGTGTAGTTGCCGGACGTTTCAATCCCCCTCTAATTTGGGGTATAAAGGCAGACACCCCCCCCCCCCCGACACACACACACACACACACAGGAGATGGTCGGGATATCCAAAAAGCCCCGAACAGGTAGCGCTGAGGATTGTGCCAGGCAGTGCAGGGGCCATGTTAACCTTGAGAGCGGCGTGCCCGCGGAGCGGTGTTTAACGTTCGCTTGCATTGTCTCATCCTCCTGCGCTAAGGCGAGAGGCTCGGGGCACGGAGGCGGCTGCGGGAGAGCTTTGTTTTCGGAAGGACTCGATGCACGGGAACTGGTGCTTATAGGTTTGGCCTTGCCTCTGGCAGACGGGGCTTGCTCGTGCTGTCAGAGGGCGTCCGTGCCGGGAGGGCTCTGTGGAAGAAGTTTGTTGGGGTTTGGGGTCCAGCTGGGGCGGGGGGGGGGGGGTTTTCCTGCTCTTGCTTTGGTTTTGCCTGTGGTGGTTCCCGAAACGAAATAAGCTGCAGCACCAAGAAACCCTCCTGGACGTAGCTGGAGGTATCGGGGATTTTCAAACGCCTGCAAGGGCTTTGCAGGTGTCTTGTCCCCAATTTTGCCTGGCGCTGCCGTGCTGGCAGAGCCTGGTTGTGGACGACTGTCCGAATGGCTGGGACCAGAGAGGACAGTTGGGCGCGTGAGCAGCAGATGGATGCCCAAATGCCTCTTTGCGATGGCAGTAGGCAGAAATTTATGCCCTCAGCCCATCGGCAACGCGCTCGAGCAGCAGAAACCTGGGGCTGGAGGGTCTCTGAGCCGAGATGGCAGCATCCCACGCCAAAAAGGCTTTTAACCCAACAGATATTTCCCCCATGGCTTTCCGCTGTCCCTGCCTTGGTGCGAGGTAGGGAGTAGGGAAGGAAGACCTGGATCTAGCATTGCTGTTTAAAATCAAGCCTCAGCTATGCTTGGGAGAGCAGAGCAAAGTCGCCAGAGTCCTTAGAAGCATTCGCTGTGGGCTCTGCATGGAGGTTATTCTTGCAAACGCTGCACCATGTTTGTCTGCAGAGCATGTTTTTGCTGGCTGCCAGGCACCTTGCTGAGAAAGCCACCGAGTTGCCTGCCTTTGGAGAATTAAAATTCACCTAAAATTAAATGCGACGCCACTATTGCTACAAAAACACCCCCAAGGGCTGGGTAGGACTGCGCAGTAGTCCCTGTCCCATACTGCCAAATTGGATCATGGGAGGTGGGGGAAAACTGGCTTCTCCCCCTCCAGCCACGGCCCCCCAGAAATCCCTCCCCAAAGGCTGGGAGCGCGTAGTGGCTCTGGATTTCTGCAGTGACTTCTCTTGGCGTGAATATGAGCAAGTCCCCACTCCATCCCTACCCCTTTACCTCTGCACCAGCTGCTTGGACCTACGTAAGAGATGGGGGGGTGTGTTATATAGGTGTTTTTCCTCTTTGGATTTGCTTCGTTGCCTTAAAGCAAGGCTGTTCTTAGGGATCAGAGGTTAGTTTCTCCGGCGTGCAGCTCGGCTCCCAAAGCCCTGGGCGCAGGCAGGTGCAGAGCGTGTTAACACTATCAGGGATGGAAGGAGGAAAAGGAGGTGCTCCAGCTCTTGGCAGCCTTGATTTATGGCGCGGGCTCATAGGACGCTGCCGTCATACTGAAAGAGTTCCAGCTAACTGAGTCTTGTAGGGTAGGAGGTGGTAAAGAGAAGGATCTTGCGGATGCTGACACCTCTCTGCCTGGGAGGACAGCTGGGAGGTTGCACTAGGAGGGTTTGTAGACCTTTTTGCCCTCTGCCGTGGGTTTAATGGCAGTGTTAAAGGGGAGATGGCTGCAGAAACACCCGGGTGCTCCCGGCCCTCCAAGCACAGCTGCTGGGGCTCACCCCGCTCTTTTCCTTGCTGCTATGCAGAGAAACTCCTATGGCCAGAGCGGCGATGCAATGCAATGCCGTCATCCGGTGGGGAAGGCTTCAAGGAGCTCCTCTGCATCCCCGTGCCCTCCGGGTTTTAAAACCTGTTTTTCAAGCTCTACTTTTCTTCTCTGAAGATACACCTGTCCCAGCTGACGAGAGTGGGAAGGAGGGACCTGACGTAATTACGGGCAGGCTCGGGGAAGGGAGGTGAGTGGCCTGGGAGCATTCATCAGATAAGAGAGGAAAGGAGCTCTCCACTCAAGATTTTCTCGAGCTTGCTGGGCGTACTTGGTGTGCAGGATTAGAACACAGCCAGGGGAGCGTGAGGGGGGATAAAACTGGCTGTGCCAAGGTGCTCTGCGCTGCTCGTAACGGGGGCTGCCCCCAAAGCCAGGCAGAGCCTGCGGCATGGTTGGTGGCAGTGCCGGTTCCCGCGGGGATGGTGGGTGCTGTACTGCACCCCGGCGAGGGCCTGGTGGCTTTGCCTGCTCCTCCGGCGGAGCGGGAGACCGTGGCGTGTGTCACAGCCCCATGGGAGACACGTCCTGCCAGAAGCGGGCCAGCGGCCGAGACCATGGTGGAACACACCAAGCTCTGGCCACGGCGGGTGCCTTGGCCACCCTGTCTCCTCTTTAGCACGAGGTCACGGAAAGGAAAATAGGGTCTTATCTCTTCCTCTTCCAAGAGAGGTTTGTCAACTTTCCGCCTCAAGCCTTTGGGTCAATGCTGCCTGAGAGGCTTCTTTGCCTCTCAACCATCTCCACTTTGAGCAAGAAGAGTAAGGAGGGCCACGTTGAAGGGCCGTGCCCAGCACAGAACCCTGTCCAGCCTACGCTGCGGACTGCCGTGGCTCCTGTAGGATGGCTTGCTCCATCTCCTCGCTATTTGGCTCTTCCTCTGAGGCTTTGGGCCCAGCTGGACAAGGCAATCTAGGTTGGTGTGCAGGAGGCTTCTTCCTCTGCTTTGCCCAGAGATTCTGTGGGGTTTTTTTGCTGCTCTGGACCTCCAGTTTCCAAAAGTGAGAGGTAGTGCTTGTTTGCCTGGTGCCTTGGAAGGATCGGCGTTTCAGAAGATAGGTGCGGTGGTAGCCCAGGCTGGGATTGGAGGAGAACCTGGAGGTGCTCACTGGAAACTGGTCCAGTACATGAAGAGTCTCCTAGTGCAAACAGGGAGCAATAACAGCACAGAAATGCTGAGACTGTGTTGCCCGAAGGTTGAAATAAGTGGTGCATTTTGCACTGACTTAGAGTATCCCAGCAACCTATCTGGGGCTGGAAATCCTTCCTTGATTCCCTCTTTTCTTCCCGCTCCTCTTGTGCCTTTTTCCACGTTGTTTGCTGTGCATGGGAAGCCCCCCACGGTTCCTGTTTCCCCACCCTGAGGTGTGCTTGTCATTGTTGTACCTTTTTTAAACCAAGCCTTCAGATCCCTTGGGGCAGAGACCTTGTGTCCTTTTGGAATTTCTCCAGAGCCCTTCAGGATCCTCTAGCAATTTGCAAAAGAGGCTCTCTGTGTAGCATTTCTGCACGCTGAGTTATGGGGAGCCTAATTTCTGAGCCTGCTGATGACTGGGAACGAGTCATTCGGTGACCAGAAGGACAAGACAACCTGCTCTGGTGTTGACGTTACCTCCCCTTTAAGGGAGAGAGGGGTAGGACCAGATGAGCTCCCGAGGTCCCTTTCAACCTAAATCATTCCGTGACTACTCCAGAAATACCCACCATCCTGCTTCTCCCAGGCTTTTGTAAAATACCGGTTATTAGGCAGCGATGGTGAGGGGACCTGAAACGAGGTGGACCACTGCTTTGATCCTGTGTGGAGATTCCAATGACAGCATGACCCTGGCATCCTCCCCTCCACAGCACGCGTCCTCCAGCCCTGCTAATGATGCAGTGTGTCTTTCTGGCTCGTCTCTGCCGACCCGCGTTACTCATCCGGCACGTAGGTGCGCGGTGTGCCCGCATCCACAGCTTTTCATCTCGCCTTTTTTTCTTCTTTTTAATAGGGGATTTAGCTCTTTGAGGAGCGCTGCTGTCTAAAGCTAGCGCATGGTAATTCAGCTGATGCAGCAGAAGCTCTGGTAGAAATTTCAGACCGTTTATTAGGCGTTTGCAGGGTTTTTTTTTCGTCACGCAAGCCAAGCCCTTCCCACACATTAAACCTGCGTCTGCTTAAATCGCACATCTCCCGTTGAAATCCAGCTCCTCCTGCGTAACGGCAGGGAATCTTTGCTCCAAACAAAGAGGGTCCATCAGTCTCCGGGGCGTGCTGTTGAAAAGAAGCAACCAAGAAGTGTCTACAGCATCCAATTGTTTTTGCGTTGCCTCTAACAACCCTCCTTTCCAAGCTCGCGATGGCAGCCTGGTCCTCCTTGAGCCGTAGCTTGAGTGGAGTTATTCATGCCATCTTCATCTGCCTTGGCCGGCAGCCCTGCGTGGGGAGCGGATGGGCGCAGCCTGAGCCTTGCTTGGCACTTGAGGCTGTTGAGTAGAGGGCTGGTGCGGAGAGGGTGCCAGCACTGCTGACTTGGGAGCTAGCCTGTGAAAAAACCACTTTAAACCGTTTTGCTGCTGCCGCCGGTGGACCTCGCAGAGATGCCCCCGGCAGGTTTGCTGGCTCGGCGGGGCTGAGCCCCAGAAGCCAAGCAAGCCTGGAGCTCTCGTTTACGCCTCACCTGCTGCTCAAGTTGGGTTCGGCTCTTCTGGTGGAAATTCAGAAGGATGAGGCAGGGCAGGAAGGTGACCCAGAGGGACGAGCCTCCAGCCGAAACTGAACCGGGGCTCTCTGAATAATTCTGGGGGGTGGTGAAGGGACAAAACACCTCCCACGCACCAAGGGAAGTTGACTGCTGAAAAAAAAAAAAAAAAAAAAAACCACGAATGCAAATCTCTGACTGGGCAGAATCTCCCCAGACACATCCTTTTGTAAAGCACTTGCATTGTACCATTAAAAATAGATCAGCGCGTTCTCCGCTTGCTTGCTGAATGCTGATGCCTGTAATTCTGTGTCATCCTCGCAATCCCTTCTGCTTTGAGCTTGGCTGCCTCTTTGTCTGGCACCTGAGCAAGGTTCATTCAGCAGTAACTGATATAAAGATAAGTGTTGAGCTCTGTTGGAGCCTAGCAGGATGGGCAGGGAGGTGAGGAGGACTGAAGTGATCTTAGCTGGGGGTCAGGCAGCAACCCTGAAGGGACAAGGCTTGGTGTGATCACCCAGGCTTTCTGTTGCCTGGTCAGAAGCAGGGATGAGTGAGACCTGCTGGCATGGAAACGAGTTGGAGGATGTTGAAGCTCTGGGTGGATGTCATGATATATCTGGGTTTTTTTTGTAGCTGGGGCTAGAAAAAGTGTATGTGTGTATGTATATATACATATATATATATATATATATAATGCTTCAACATCTGCCTGGAGTCGGTGGGGGGAATATTGCTGCTCATTTCCCCCCGTGAATGAGTTCATCTAGTTTGCCACCCACAGTAGCAAGGATGATACGGATTAACAGAGAAGGCCCGTGCCACAAAATGCTGCAATACCGAGTGCTCCGTGAAGAGGCTAGGCTGTAGTATTTCGTACACAAAGAGCTATGGCACCTGACCAGCAAGCCGTGGCTCGGTGTGGTTGATGGGCACATGCTTGTCCAGGGTGGTGAGGATGGAGGGAGAGCCGCAAAACACTTTGTTTGACCCCCATGTCACCTCAGATTAACAGGACAAAACCAGTTGGTAATGAATCACAGCCCCCCCAAGGGGAAAGGAGAGAGTGGGGCAGGAACTTCAGCTTGGGCTTTGCCTGTCTTGTCTGTTTTTTCTAGATAAAGGTAATCCTCTGAAACCCAGAGTTGGTGCCTCCTCACTGGGGCTGTGTTAAGAGGTAGAGCTTGAGCTGACAAGTGCTAATTCATCCCCAACCTGTGAGCAATTTGGCTATTGTGTGCATATAGGAAATTCAGCAAGCCTTGAACCGGGTCAGAAAAGTCTTGCGGAATGTATTTACTGCCCTGAGGAGTGTCTCATCCCATGGAAAACCAGCGTAACCCCTTGCATTTGAGTTGAGTTCTGGGTCTCCTGAGGAGGGCCAGAGTTTCAGCGGGCGGCGTTACTGTGGACACTGGCCTCTGATGGCTGGGATCTGCGCCTCGGTTTGCCCCCGCTGGTGTCAGAAACTGCATAAAGCCCGCCGGGAGGCAGCAACGCTGCTCTTCAGGGAGGCCAGGGGTCCTGTTTGTCCCTTAAATCTGGGGGACTAGCGACGCTGCGCCGGGTCCCTGTGTTTGCGAGGTGCTTGCTTCACCAGCCTTGGCCTCACCCGTGACTGTTACCTGGCGCCCTGCTGAGAGGGACAAACTCGGGTCGCTTGGGATTGTCCTTAAGAAGTGAAATGCTGGCGTGTTTATCTGCAGCCTTGAAGAACCACGGCTTAATCCTGTGCTTTCTTTCACTTAGCATGTAGGTGTTGTGGGAAGATAGTACGCAGGTCCTGGAGACCCTTTCTCCAGGAGACTGCAGATGCACCCAACGGGTATTTATGGTGTCTGGTGTCCTAGGACAGGAGAATCAGACCAGCCCTGCAGAAGTATCTAACTGCATACCTTTCTGGGCTGCCTCTGTCTGCTCTTGTTGCAAAAAGGCAAACAAGCTACTGGAGATCCCCAAGATAAGCCTGCTGGGCTCATGGGGTCATGCACCAGATGAGGGGGGATATCGGGCAGTAGGCAGCAAGGGTCCTTGAAGCATCACTGGGACTAAATTTCCCTTCTCCAGTGTGACATGTCCTCTGTGATGTGTGCCAAGCTGCTCAAAGCAGAAGGTGCCTTTAGCTCTGAGAGCCTGGCCAGCTCTCGGCTTGGCAAGGTGAGGATGGAAATGGGATAACTTTGGTATTAGAAAGCAGCGTGCTTGGGAGCTCCATCCTCAGCCTGGGCAAAGGCAGCGATTAAATGGCTGGCTGGTCACGGATAACCTTTGGTCTTGGCTTTTGTAGGCTTTAAAATGAAAGCTTGTATTTCTACTAACGGGGAAAACTGAATCAATCATGTTAAAAGCATAAGTCTAAGAGGAGGAGATACTGGCCTTGTCGTCTAGACTCTGGCCCAATTCCCTTCCCTGCTGTCCCCATCGGCTTTTCCTGACCGGATCTCCAGACTGACCACCACAGCTGCAGTCAGAAAGTTTTCTGGGAATGGCCAGTCTGCAAATCCTTAAATGC